TGTTTATTTTTCGAGAATGGATTTTGAATCTCAATGCAAAAGGAAGATTCGAAATTTTGTCAGCGTGGAGAGTTTGTTTCAATGGTTTCGACCCGATAAACCTGCAAATGAACAGTATTGTTGCTAAGAGACTTCGTTTCACCATCTTTTTGCATTCTATTATTGCGCATAACGTGATGCTTTCAGTCCCTATTTTTGCAACCTGTTTGTTTTTAGTACCATTACTATCCAATCCTTGGACATACGAAATCCCTGAGTTAGCCCTTTTTGGTCTTTTTTGGTCAATTCCATCCATCTTTCTTTACACTTTTCTTTTAAATACTGCAACAGGGTTCGCATGGTACAATGTATGCTCTATCTGCTTTCATCTCTTTCGACTATATGATCTGGTGCACTCTGCAGATTACTTGAATCACTGGCCAGCTGATGAAAAGCAACTTCGATCATTTTGTGTGTCTATCATTCGTCACCTCAACAATTTTGAAGTACTTTCTCACAAGTTTCGCTATCTACAGTTGTCCTATTTCTTAGTCTTTGCTGTCGCAGCTGATTTTGACCTTTTTCTTGGAATCATCGTTAAAATTTACAGTGATTTTTTCGCAAATTTGTTTGCAATCCTCGGTTTTTTCATTTTGCTAGGCTGTGGAATTTTTGGCTTAATTTTTGGAAATTTTATCTCACAGGTAATTTAGAACGATTTTGGTTAACATTTAATTTACTTTTACATTCTTACATTAGCTAGATAAGTTAACAGTAAAACTGCATCAAATATCTATGAAGAGTAAACTCAGGATTCGCACAGCAAATAAGGTAAATAATAATTGCATCTGCTCATATTTAAAACGAGCAAGAGCCCAAACGTGACTATAATAAACGCTTGAAAATCAATCGATTAGTTTTCGGAGAAGTCAGAGCTTGATCAAAATTCAGGTCAATGACAAATTCACATTTTAACAGGGTGAGAGGAAAGCGCAGAGTCCATATTACAAATCATGGATCTTACCAAATCAAACTACCTTCACTTTGGGTTTCTCAGCTTCAAATTGCTCTAGTTTAGTCAAAACGCACATCATCAAAAAATTGAAGCCAAACACAGTCAAGAACATAACTAACAGACTTGTGAATTGTGTGCATTCCATCTTTTTGTACAGGTTTTGGAGATCATGGATCGCGCTGCTGGACCATATAATGGCCTCAAAGTCGGAGACGTTGTGACTCTTGAGAAAAGCTTTTTCATATTAGTAAGAATAGTAAATATATCGTTTTAGCGAAACTTTGAATTTCGTTTTTTTCAGTTTATCTTAGAAAACATATCAACTTTAATGCTGTTTATTTGCACCCTTGGACCTTTGATCGAGGAATAATGCAAATCCTTCTAATTGAAATTAACCATTCTTATTCACGCATATGTTTGAAACGGATTGCTCAGCTCGTTTATGTTTAAGTTTGTTAACTACATTTTAATGTTTCAAAAAAATGAAAATCGAATACAAATCTGAAATTTGGTTCGCAATCAAGAATCTAAACAAATATCTACTAGTCTGAATGATTCTGGATTTGATCACCGGAATAGCTTCTTTAATATATGGATTGAGATGCATGGCATTTATTTGCACTAGTGACCATTATTGTTGGAGATCTATTTTTTCAATTAATGCTCCGAACCTGGAAGAATGTAAATCTTTGCGTTTTTCAAATAAGATCCATTGAATGTAACTATTGAACCAAAAAATATAATAATCAATATTGATTCAGGGAATATCAACTGATATCGTGTACAGCTCAGATCAAACATTCAATCGATTCCCAGTGGATAAAGATCGTTGGTTGTATAATGACTTTGATGCAAACAACATCATTAATAGCATGTAATACTAATACTAGTTAATTATCATAACATTGAATGGAAGATGAGGAAATTTTATAAGTTCAATGCAGTTCAATGTAAAATCGACAAAACTCAAGTCGAGTTAAACTGTCGACCAGCTTTTAAACTAATTTGTAAACGATTCAATAACTTGAATAAAGTTTAATATGTCAATTTGTAACCAATTTTGTTCAATTAAAACTTGCCTACGATGTTATTTTGGTATTAAAGATGATCCAAAATTGGTTGAAAAAGTAATTGATAAATTCAACTCAATATTACTTGGAACTTGTGTATTGAAAAAAGGCTATCATCAAGATCGGGAAAACTCTTATTCAGGTTTACCTAATTTTCGCTCTTCACTTTTTTCTCTTCGATTATTAAGTTCAATTGCAATACTTCGTTTCATCATCATTATATCAAATAATGAGACTTCATACATTCATGTAATTCTTGGCAATGAATTTTATTCGGCTTCAGTGTCATACATTTTTCATGCTATATTACTCGCCTTTTACATGTTAGGACTAATTTGTCGTGAATATTGTCTAATAATGGAAGCAAGAGGCGATCTTCATTTTTTGAGTCAAATCTTGATTATCAAAGATCACGGCTTTGATGAGTCAAGGTTGAATCTTTCATCGTATCAGGCTTACATATTTAAAAAACGAACTCAATTTTGCCTCCTTTTCTGGCTTTACTTTATTTATCCAATTTGCCATTCTTTTGTCCCGATGTTGATTGCTGTTCATCTTTTCAATCCAAGTTATTGGTCAGATCCAGTTTACCTTGTGTCAAGCACGATATGGTGCACGATTGAAGTGATCACTTTCATCCATCTACAGAGTATATCAGCGGTCGTATGTACCATTCTAATATTTATATGGCTTTGCGTTGGACGAATGAAGACTATATAGAGAAGATTGATTTTAATTTC